GGCCGGCCTTCGATTGGTACCGCCGTCTCAAGCCCGGAAGTATTAACAACTGGGACGATATGGAGAGCTCATTCCTTGGCAGTTTCTTTGATGACGACGATGAGGTATCCATCAGGACACTTTTCGATGAGAAACAAGAAGATGACGAGACAGTCGACGACTTCGTCAAGCGCTTTCGGAATAAAGCAATAAACTGCCGAGATCCGATCACGGAGGACTTCATCCTCCAGACATGTCATAACAACCTATCTATTGAGATATTAGAAGTTATGGGAGTCGCACCGTCCAACACTTGGAAAGAATTGAAGACGCGCGGAGAGCGAGCCGAACGCTTCCTCCGAAGGAAGAAAGCCGAGAGGAGCCAACCGACGGCGAATCTTCCGAACTCAAACTTTGCCTCCCGTGGTAAAGGAAAGGCACATGCAGCGGTTGTAGACGTTAACCAGACATCGCAACAACAACCCCGAAGGCAGCAAAAGACTTCGGATCCGAGACTCCAAAAAGAGTACTCCTTCAAGGACGAAGACGTTCCAGCCATCTTCGAGTCTTCTCCTTGAAAACAACAGCAGTCAGCTGCCACCTGTCGTAAATCAGGCAGGAAGCTGATAACATCGTGCGATCAAAATATGTGCGCTACCACAGCGAGGATCCCGTTCCCATCCACAAGGATTGCTTTGCTCTCAAGAATAGCAAATTTCAAACCTTTGGTTTTGGAAGCGGTTTGTTATATCGCCTCAATTGAGCCGAAATGAACACTCCGAACAAGTATAAGAGATATAACTGCTTCTTAATCTGCGACGTATAAGAGGTTAACTGCTCCCTGATACTCCCAATTGGTATATGAGTCTAAACTGTTTTCTACCATTACGCGGAAGATTCCAGGGAGAATTTTTATAATGCTTTAAAATATCTTAAGGATAACCGATCCATGTAACAATGCAATTTGGATAAACCCAGATTTCGCGAAGAATGCTTGGGGTGGTGGATGATTCATGTAACGGGGAGTTCCCCGAAGAATACTAATTATGTAATTTTTCTTAGGGATAAACCGATCATTACAAACAAAGTGATAAACACTTAACTCCACTCTGTGGTTCGCATATTGTTTGCGTCGAAAATGATCTGTATCATTGCAGGTATTCATTACAACTTCCAATCCGTTACACATGAACAAAAAAAGATTATTCTTTTTATAAAGACTTTTACACAATGAACAAAAGTTTCACTCTCGTCAAAACAAAGCTAGAGGACTGCTGTTTATCACCCGCCTGCTTTTGCGTTAGGATCTCTTGCCCCGTTGTGCCGTGTTTATCTGTGGGCCCGCCTTAGATCTGATCCGGTGGATGAAAATTCGGCAGAGCTCGTCTTCACCGAGAAGTATTTTATTTGAAGCGCTCGAGATCGACAAACGAAAATCAAGGCGCTCTTCTCAGACAGATTAGACAAGCCTAATCTCACCGGAGGATATACGAACTGAGGATACGGGCGTGCTCTCGAACTCTCCTTCTTTTATGCCGAAGAACTCGCCAAAGATCTGTCACCTCGCTGAAATTTCGTGCTCCTTGACTCCTCAATCCAGCAGACCTCCTGCGTTCTTGATAATCAACCCGCCGTAGCTCCCATGAAAGGGGCCCTAGGTTTGAATGTATTTATAGGCGGCTTCGGAAACCGTTTATTTGGAATGAGAACAATGATTTGGCCTCTATCTTCAGTTAACAACAAGCCTAACCACGTTTGGGGGATGATCTTCAGCCAGTAGAAACCCTAGAACAGCATGATATCTTGCTAAACCACCTTTAAACCCCGTCAAAAACGCAGTTTTCGGGTGACCAAACTGCCGCGGCAGACTGGTCTTGACCTGCTGTGTTTGCGCGGACGGATCAACCGACCGGGCAAGGGCAGTCGGATTTGGTCCGACCCGCGCAAGCGCGGGTCGGATTTGTCCGACCCGCGCAAGCGCAGGTCAGACCAGTCTGCCGCGCAGTTTGGTACCCGAAACGCGTTTTGACGGTTTTAAAGTGGTTTTTCACAGGATTCATCTGTTCCAGGGGTTCTTAACTGGCTTGATATCATCCCCAAATGTGGTTAGGCTATTGTTAACTGAAGATAGAGCCAAATCACTTGTTCTCATCCAAATAACCGTTTCCGAAGCCCTAAAAATACAAACCTAGGGCCTCCTTTCAGGGGGCGGTTGATTATCAAGACGAGGAGGTGCTGCTGGATTGAGGAGTCAAGGAGCACGAATTTCAGCGTTGACAGATCTTGGCGAGTTCTTCGGCATAAAGAAGGAGAGTTCGAGAGATCCGACGCCCGTTCCCGTCCGTCCCTTGAGATTAGGCTTGGTCTTAATCTCGAGAAGAGCCCTGATTTCGCTTGGTCGATTTCAGCGCTTCAAATCAAATACTTCCTCGGCGAAGGCGAAGCTCTGCCAAATTTTTCATCAACCGGATCCAGATCTAAGGCGGTCCACGGATAAACCCCGGCACAGGCAAAGATCCCACGCAAGCAGAAGACCGATAAACGATCTCTGCGTTTGTTTTGACGAGAGTTGTAAACTTTTGTTTTCATTGTGTAAAAGTCTTATAAAAAGACAATCTTTTTTTGTTTTCATTGTAACGATTGAAGTTGTAATGAATACCGCAATGAATACATCAATTTTCGACGCAAACAGGCACCAGCACATGAGATACATGATTTTGGAGACACTCCTGAAATGTTGCACATTCAGGGGAATTCTTCCCATTAATCAGATATGCCTTCCCATTAATTCTTAAGTACAGCAATCACCTCACTATAAGAAAGAAATGCCTTCCCATTAATCAGAGTAAGAAAAAATGTCTCATATTCCTCGTCGGGCAAGGAACTCAATAATAGCAACGCATTGTCCTCATCTTCGATCATGACATCCACATTCGCCAAATCTGTAAGAAACTTTATGTAGGTGTTCATGTGATCTCTAATTGAGGTTCCCTTCTTCAACGGGAAATGATAAAGTCTCCTCTTCAAATACAAGCGGTTCTCAACACTCTTTGTCAGATACTTGCTTTCGAGAATCTCCCAAATCTTCTTCGCAAAAGTCTCATTCATCATATCATATTTTAGATTTTGAGTCAAACAAGACCTAATCACACCACACGCCGTTCGATTCATCTTCTTCCAAACATTCTCTTCAATATCATCTGGCTTGTAATCTAACTCCAATATATCCTCCAAATTCTACGCATTCAGCGCATCCAAAATCTTGCATCTCCATAATCCAAAGTTGTTTGTGCCATTAAACTTCTCCACATCTATCTTCATAGAGTGGATATTCAAACTCTTAATGATCTTCATGCCAAAAGTACCAACTCAACGCACCAACGAACAAAGAATAGATCCAAAACTAAAAAGATAGAGTCTTTACCAAAAGATCCAACCTTTATCACCAAACAAATTCCTAGACGAGCTTTCAAATTGATCTACTCCTCTAACCAAAAAAAAAACCCTAGATCTGAATCTGGACTCTGATACTACTTATTGTGCACATCGGAAATTTCGGTAGCACCTCTGGTGCTCGACAAGAGAGTAAATCTTAACTAAATCCCTGTTTTATAAAGAAAACAAGAACCGAAAGTAAAATATCTCAACAAAGTAGGATATCATCTCTTCCTCTCATCAGGTCTAGGACTGACCTATCGAGTGAACCTAAACTCTCTATTACAAATCATAACACGAATAATTAATTTTAACGTGGTTCGACAAATTGCCTACATCCACGGGGCAATGAGAGGGGAATCTACTATTAGAGAAAGAGAATACAAATGGGTTTACATTCACATAAATTAAACCCTCAAACTAACTCTCAAATCTCTCAAAATAGTCAAAAAAAGGACCTCTGTTTCTCCTGTTTCACGCAGCCCAAGAAAAAATACACAGCCGACTTTTTCTCTATAATTTTCTCCTGCCTAGCACGTCGTCCTAACTTTGCACAGCCGCCTGCGATTTTTTTTTCAACCTGGTACTTGCACACTACCCTAGGAGAATTACGTTTGTATTTATGTTGGTTAAGTCGGGTGGGCCTCTTTACCCGCTGAACAAACATATCCCCACGAACGAATTAGCCACGAACGAATTCATGGCCCTCACAAATGCGTAGCTTCACGCATTTTGCTTCAAGCTTGTGAACGTGGGTGGCACCCACTTCACATGCTCCACAAATATGACTGTCAATTTGATAGTTTTTCCAACAAGAAAAAAAATTATAGACTATTGTTGTAGATTGTTAGAAAATTTACTGCAAATAATCAAAAGAGGAATTTCAGAATGGTTAGAAACGCAGGCCTGGAAGGGGTAATTATGTCATAATCGTCACCTTCGCAGAGACGATTCGATGCGACCACACCTGGCAGTAATAAACCCCTAAGAACACTAGTACCAAAGTTTAATGTGAAACTTTGATCTCTTGCTCAATGGATGTTTGCCCCCAAAATAAAAATCAGAAATTTAATTGTAGAGAATATGAGAGAGAGAGAGAGAGAGAGAGAGAGAGAGAGAGAGAGAGATTAGAGATTGCTCATTGTTTTTTCCTGTGTTTTCAACCTTCATTGAGATCTCTTTTTCTAGCTATCTAGATTTTTGTGTTGGATTAACTGCTGCCATCAAGAAGGAGTAATTCACACTCGTGATGAGGTCAGATAGGACGCCGACGTTGCCATAATATGTTGAGGAATTGTCGGGATTTTTTTCTTAAAATGCTCGGAGAAAGAGGAAAGAGTTGCAGATGAGGATGAGGACGCATTTACAGAAGAGGATAAGGAATAGACATTATGCAAATGTACCCCTCAAAATATCATATTTGCATAAATTTCATTAAAAGAAATCAATCTTTAATTAATTCCAACACAATATACTCCTAGGAATTCATGAGAATGTTTGACTTAAGGCTAAGGATAAATTCAACAATAGAATGATGTAATATACCATAAACAAAATATTTATTTTATTTTGTAGCAAGAAAATTATTATACATCCTTCATCCGAGTGTATCCTCCAGGACCACCATAACGAAATTTGTAACCATCTGGATACCCTGAGTCATAATTTCCATCGATACCATAATAGTTAGGTCTAGTAGATAATAGCCTGACTCTAACAGATTTTGGACTGTAAAGCTGATTTCTTTTATTTACTAACTTAATATTCAGAAAATAACATGTCCTATTTGGACCTTCGTAAGGCATATGACCACTTCCCATGGGAGGACTAGGTTCATTGTAAGGAGAGTAAGCTGCACCACCAAAATCAACCTCATTAGATTTCTCTAAATTATTGAAAAGCTCCTTTGGCCAATATCCTACTAGAGATCTTTCTTCCCCATAGGTTAACCACCAATTTCCTTCATCTGGATCCTACAATGAGAAGGACAAAAAATAAGAGTTATTTCCCCACTCCACACACACAAAAAAACCATGTATTATAGAGGTGTAGCTATTCACCATCCCTATATATTCTATACCAACATAAAGATCATTTCTGTGATGAAGATATTTCTCATGTGTTTTTAAACTCATCTAGTAATATGTTAGAATTTCCTTACAAAAAATTTAATGCTGCTCAACACTTGATTTCCACGAGCTTGAAAACTTGAAAAGTAATGCAATCATATGGTAAGTGTAATAAATAAATAAGAAGGGTAAGTAGCTACACCTACAACTATTTATCACCCTAGTCCTATTAATACATAGATTCCCTACTCCACATGATCATGTAATTCCTTTTGTTTGTTGTTAAACAAACATGGGAATCTCATAAACTTTCGGACTTTTTTCAACACCCATGTCACTTGAGTTGAAGACTACAAAAAAAAACCCACCTTGATGGATGTGTATACGAATAAAATGTAATATAAAGGATATATAACTAATACCCTATATCACTTATTCTATTAAAAAGTTTAGCTATCAAACTTCTTTTTCAGACTTTAATTTATAGACATATCACTTCTAGTATGCTAATCAATTGAACACAAAAGACTAAGAGCTTGTTTGGCAAACTCAATAAACTTGTTTTAGTGAGTACAGAATAGGTATGCTTGGCCATAGTTTGGACAATTAAAAGAAGTGTAGTAAACTAGTTCTTTTGAGTCCAATTTTGCTCAATAACTAAACTACAAACAAGCCAAGATAACCATGGTCCAAAAGAGATCGAATTAGGTGAGGATGACCCAAATATGTTATAGTAAAAAAATTGGCCAAACTAAGTTATAAATTAGAACTAGTTCTATAAAGTCTAACTTAGACTAACTTAGGCCAAATGGAGTTAGTTCAAAAGTGAATTAGGTTATTTTCAAAGCTGCCAAATAAAGCCTAAGATAAAGATAAACTATAAGATCAACCTATAAAGTGTCCACTATTTTAATAAGGCTTAAAAACTAACACTGATAATAATAATAAAACTTAAAAACTGACATAATAAACCAATAATGCCTATTCCCATTGTTGGATTTTTAATTTGAGTGGTAAAATTAATGATTAATGATATTTACAGCAAAAAGAAAAAAATATCAACACAGTCTCTCTCCACCATCTTCTTCATCATCGTCCCCTTCCTCTCCCACTTTCTTTCCTCTTTCTTCCTCCCCAAGATCCTCATCCTCACCTCCTTTTCTCCCTCCTACTCCAATATTACCCCTCTTCTCACATCCTCTCTCCTCTCTCATCTCACTCTCCTCCTCTCCCATCTTCTCACTATTTTCTTTCCTCAAACATTTACCAAAAGTGGAGGAGGAAGTGAAGGAGGAAGTGGAGGGAAGGGCGAAGGAAAGTGAAGTGGGCGAGGAGAGAGGTTGAGAAGATGGATAATGTAAGTGGGGGTGGGGAAGAGAGAATTGTGGATTTTTGCAAATATTTAGATTTGAAGGGAAAATCTGTAATGGTGTGTTTGGGAGTTTACTTAGGAAAGGGAAGGAAGGGGAAGGAAGGGAAAAAATTCTCCTTCCTTCCCTTCCCCTCCATTACACCCCAATTTGGGGTGTAAGAATTTGGGCCAAATTTCCCCTCCATTCCCCTCCTCTACCCTCTTAAATGAAACTCTCAAACAAGGTTAAAATAAAATTTTCCTTCCCTTCCCCCTCTCTACCCTCCATCCAAACAGGCCATAAGTGTGGGAGATTTGAGGGATATATATGAAAAATTCTTAATTTTTATGTTCAAATCTAAATTTTAATAATGGAAATAGGCCTTGTAGTTAAGTGCACTAATTTAGGATTTATTGTCGTCAGCGTCAGTTTTTAGATCTCATTGGAAAATGAGAGTCACTTTATAGGTTAATTGAACTTCAATGATGTTTGTTGGTTGAGATGAATTTTCAGAAATCAAGTTAATTTGCTATTGTTTTACCTTGAAGATACTTATGTCAATGGATTTTTGAATCCCACCATAGGTAGAAAGCTGTGTTATTTCCATTCCAGGACTAAAGTCGCGAGATATTACCATAAATCCTTGACAATGGAGATTGTAGCAACCTGTGTCATAACCATCAGCCTGTACACATATTTAATCAATTTTTGTTAATCCTCAGCTAGTAACAAACTATAATGTTTTTGAAACCAAGAAAACAAAATTTTATTTAGCTTTTAAGTTCAAAGTTATACATAATTCATTGATCATACCGTCCAAAATGTAGATAGATGGGTTAAATAGTCACCATATAAACTCGGATATACCTAGATTATTAACAAAAAAGTAGAAAACAAATTTAGTATAAATTCAAGTGAGTTTCTATTTTTATTTAAAAAATCTGCGAATATTCTAATTTGAGTAAGTTAAATAATAGCTAATTGCTTACGTGCCATCCTGCTTGTACAGCGTTTACTTCATCTGATGGTCCAGCATTACCTCCAAGAACCCATATTTGGCTTATGGTGCTTTGATCAACTTTGATATTTGGAAAACCATAAACAATAAGCTTTGCACTTGCTCCGTAATATTCACTAATTCTAGTTTGCATAACTGCATACTATTTAATTAACAACAAATTCATTAGAAAACAAGATGAAACGATTTAGACATAAAGATTTTTCATATTAAGTGAAAAACTTCATCAAATTTTTTACAACATGATGTTCTTAGGTTAGTAGTTTTTATCAATAGTTTTGCTTGTTCATGGGTAGACAGTTTGAATATTTTTGTTTACCTAAGTAAATATATTTTGTTCAAACTAAGATTCTTAATTATCCATACTCTCCTCATAAATAAATGTTAATTATTTCATTTAAGTTTTGTAGTACTTAGACTTTTTTTTGCAGCCGAAAGTATTTCATTAAATCTCCATAATTAAACACTTAGGCTTTATAACCTTCATTATTCTTGAGGAAAAGTATAAAGATTAACATTTCACTTTAATACACATAGTAACATAGAAATACAAAATATCTCTATCAAAAAAAATTATGCTCCTCATTAAAATCAAAGCTTCATGAAACACTATATCTGTTGACCATATTTTAAAAGTTGACAAGTACAACAAAATAATATAATATTCTAAGCTAACTTAAATCATCTTAATATCAAATTACTAAATAGAAAAGAAGACTACCTCTCTCCCTCCCCCCCTCCCCGCCCCCCCCCCCCACCTGCCCCCCATCCCCCCCCATCCCCCCTCCCCGCCACCCCCCCCACCCCACACACACACCACACACCTTCCCCTCTTTTTGGTCTTAATGCCGCCATTTCTAAGCCTTTTACAATTTATTTAGCCATGGGTGCAAAACTCTTTCATAAAACAATGTAAATTTGTAAATTAACTTGCTGTAAATTTAGATAAACGATTCAAAATGAAGAGGGCTACTCACATGGCTTCCAGTTCCAATGCTAGTTTTCGCTTTATCCGATGGGTAACTCGTAACATGTCTTTTGACATGATTTTGAAGAGTTTTTGCATGTATTAAATCATTTTTAGTAGTTCTGCGAATAAGAACCGTTCCATTTGGACATGTGGTGTTCTTGAGCAAATTTGAATTAATGGTCATGCCTTCTGGAAAACTGCTAGGTCTCATCTGCATTAAATAATTCCTTCTATTAGTTAATTCATTGAATAAAGAGAAATAAAAATGTCAAACTATTAAATAAAATGAGACACTAATAGATTTATTTCAGTAAAGATTATATATGTTTAAGTAACAAAGCTTTTCTCCTTGTTTTCCTAATATTTGTGAGTAAAAATTGTTCAACTTTAGCCAATTCCTAAACTAGTTTCATAATAAAAGTATAGAGTAAATAAGTTTTATAGCAATGTGACATTGGATAATTTTATACTTTTCCTACTTTCTAATTATAATCATAAATAAAACCCAATTCAGAAATATTCTACACCAGCTTCATAATATGTTACTCAAAAATATAAACAAAGAATCTATAAATGTGACTTATTTTTTATATAAATCAAGATTACAAATCTATAAATGCTACTCTTTTTTGGTACGATATCATGTAACCTTTTTTAAGATAATAGAGTAAATTACACTTGGATACCCTAAGGTTTTCCTCAAATTTCCCTTAATTATTCAAAGGTTCAAAACTCTTCAGATAAATGCCTAGGGTTAATTTCTCGACATTAAAAAAGTAACCCATCGTTAAAAAAAAGTGTAAATGATAGAAATGTCCCCACCCCACTTTAATACACCTACTATAGCGTGCTAAAACCTAAAATGAATAGTAAATGATAGAAATGTCCCCACCCCACTTTAATACACCTACTATAGCGTGCTAAAACCTAAAATGAATAGAACTCTTCTAAACTCTCCCAAATTCTTTTTAATACACCTACTATAGCGTGCTAAAACCTAAAATGAATAGAACTCTTCTAAACTCTCCCAAATTCTTTAAAATTATCCAAAATTCCCCCAAATTGACTACAGGTTAGGGTACTTTTTTATCTCAAACTGAAAACGTAAAGCAGATTTTAATTTTGGATCATGAAGAGGTGGTTTTTTTTTAGAAAACTTGTGCTGATCATATGATTTAGGGTTTGACTATTTGAGGTGCTTTCACTTGATGCGACGTTTCACCCAAAAATTTAGTCTAGTCTTGAGAAAATGCTCGACTAGTTGAATGTTCTTCCAAATTGGAGTCAACTAGTGCATGGATATGCCTTTTTGGCAATTCAAGAATATAAATGAGAGTCTTTTCAGTACTTGAAACTGGATTGATAATTTGAGACCATTTACAATTATAAATATTACAGAAAAACTTATCCCAGACTAGACCAAATAATTTGCATAAGTAGCCATAGTAGATTATATTTTAAAGCAAGTTCTTCTCTATTCTGAAGCTTTACATTTTTTGGTACATATTCTACTAAAGACTATGAACATGGATCACTTGATTTCTCAAGTAGCACAATGCGTTGAAGGATTATATGCTCGATGGGTTCTCCGCCCTAAATACTCTGTGACTCCTGCTTCAGTACTAAATAACCCTGGGTACCGTACTACAATTAACTATATTATCGTACTTTTTTGTAAGAGGTGCGTCCTTATTTTGGTTAATTCAATGTAATCCCAAGGTTTTGCTAGTATTTTTAATTATTAGATATGTTTGGCTTAACTATATATATGTGCATAATCCAGGTGAATGTTTTCTCTATCCCTAAGCATGGCCATCATACATAAATAAGTTTTCTAGCATATTATTGCATAACAAAAATGCATACTTTCATAAAGTGTTCATGTTTTTCTTTTTAATTATGTTTGTTATTGTGGGTAAGTTTTTTATTTATGCGTGTAGTATTTATGTAGAAAAGAATTTTAATCACATTAAAGTTTTCTTAATAATAACTTAAGGGAGAAATAAGCTTCATATAACACGACTGCTATAATTGATAATTTAAATCAACTATGATGGTGAAGAAGGCAACCTAGTTTGGGGAGAAATAATACTTAAATGAAATAAGGGTAGAGTTTGTAAATTAAATCAAGTATAAAGGTTATAGGAGAAATAAGATTCATATGAAATAAGGGTAGAGTATGTAAATTAGATCAAGTGTAAGGTTAAAGAAGGAACTGAAATTACATGAGAAATGAGCTTTCTATGAAATAGAGATATATAAAGGTAAAGAAGGAACAAAAACTACATGAGGGCATGCTTCATATGAAATAAGTGTATAGTTTATAAATCAAATTTAGTATAAAGGTAAATAAGGGATGAAAGTATAGCACGTGTCATCCCAAAAAAGAATATCCCTTGATATGCTAAAGGTCATCTAACGGGGGATAGCAACATAATGATTTGGAAACATTGGGCATTTCACTATTACCTAAAGAGTTTAGAACCTTAGATGTTTAGGGGCTGTTTGTTTCGAAAAAAAAAATTGGGAAATCAAAGAATAAGAAACCTATTTCCTATAATAATTGTTTTGAGGTTGTTTGGTTGGCTTAAAAAAGAAGAAAACTATAGAATAGGAGATGAGATGAGATGAGTTGTCACCTTATTATTGGATGATGTGAGTGATTTTTTAAAAAAACTTGTTTTGAGGTTGTTTGGTTGGTTAAAAAAATAAGGAAATGAATTGGAGGTATATTATTGTATGATGTTTTGAGGTTTTTTGTGTTTGGTTCATTTTTAAAAATAAGAAAATAGATGAGATGAGATGAGTTGGAGGTATATTATTGGATGATGTGACACATACTTAAGGAAATCAATTTCTTGTTTTTTTTTGAGGAAATGGATGGAAAGGAATGTTTAATGAGATGAGATGAGTTGTCACTGTGTGATTTTTATAAATGAGATAATATGAGATGTGATGAGTTGGGTGATGTGACACATTTCTTGTGTTTGGTTTATTTTTAAGGGGCTGTTTGTTTTACTAAAAAAAGAGGGAAATCAAAGAAATGGAAAACTATTAAAATGAAGAATTGGTTTGGGAGTGTTTGGTTGGCTAAAAAAAGAAGGAAATCAAAAAAATGGAGATGAAATAATGTTAGTTGTCAAATTATTATTGGATGATGTGAGTGATATTTTAAGAAAACTAGTTTTGATGTTGTTTGGTTGGCGAAAAAAATAAGGAAATAAATTATAAGAAACTTATTTCCTGTAGTTTTGTTGTTTTCTTTTGTTTGGTTCATTCTTAAAAATAAGAAATGAAATGAGATGAGGTGAGTTGTCATTGTATTATTGGGTGATGTGAAGAAAGATTAAGAAAAGTGTTTTCATAACTTTTTGGGATGAAAATGGAGAAATGAAATGTTAATGAGATGAGGTGAATTGTTATAATATTTTATTGGATGATGTGAGTGATTTGAAATGATGAAAAGAGATGAGTTGAGTGATGTTTGGATGAAAATAATATTTTATTAGATGTGGTGGATGAGTTGTTAGATGGAAATAATATTTTATTAGATGATGTGGATGAGTTGTTGGATGAAAATAATATTTTATTGGATGTTGTGGGTGAGTTTTAGGGATGGAAATGGAGGAAATAGTATTTTTTGAGATTTTTATGTTTTCCATTTCCATTTCTTGGTTTTCTTGGTTTTTAGGAAACCAAACAAACAGCCCCTAAAGGTAAGAAATGAGATGAAATGAGATGAGTTGGAGGATAAAAATATTATTTTATTAGATGTTGTGGGTGAATTTTAGGGATGGAAATGAATAAAAATATTATTTTATTGGTTTCCTTGTACCGATTTCATTTTCTTGGTTTTTAGGAAACCAACCAAACGGCCCCTTAAGTGAAATTTGTGGGAAACCTTGAGTATTTAAGTGTAATTTACTATAGATAATGTGACATATTATGAATATATAAATGCTTCTCTTTTTTAGAGTGGTGTAACTGGATAATCCACATGAAATTACTTTCAAGAACAACATGTAGTGTCTTATCAAGAAAATTAGTTGCCGTGAATAACTTTCTATACACTTTATACATGTTATTATTCTATAAAACTCTTACGTACCATCCCTTATCAATTTTTTGCTACCTATTTACCCTGTCTAACACACAGTAACTAGAACACACAATTAAACCTCCTCACGGTAGGTACGCTATCCTGACATCCTTTATTTTAGTGAAAACATTTGAAAATCTCAATCAGATCATTCTGTTGTCTTCTATCATATCTATTGTCTATCATTTTTGTTTTATGTATATAGTATCATCATTAGGGACAGTGATGTCCAATTTATATACTTTATTTGAAACTATTATCACATTTCTCCCTGATGGATTTCGACTCTCTCCAATTTTTCTTAGGAGTTAAATTACCTCTAACAAAAATGGTATATCCACCTGTGTACCTGATATGAACATTATTCAAAATGACCCTTGTCTCACTGAAATCCAAGCTAACAGCTTATCTTGTCCAATTACCAAAGATGAAATTAGAAAAGTTGTATTCTCTATGCCTGACAATAAGGCTCCAGGACCTGATGGCTATAATGTTGCTTTCTACAAATCTGCATAGTCAATAGTAGGAGATGGAGTTACCTTAGCAATTGAGGAGTTTTTCAAAACAGGGAAGCTCTTGGGGGCAGTTAATTCAACCTCAATCACTCTCATCCCTAAGGTACACTGCTCTCAATACCCCTCTGATTTTAGACCAATCTCATGTTGTAGTTGCATATATATGTTCATTTTAAAAATCCTGGCGAATAGACTGCAATCTGTCATGAGTTCCATTATCAGTGAAGCTCAAAGTGCCTTTGTAAAGGGTAGGAAAATCTCTAATAATATCCTATTAGCTCATGAACTGGTAAAGAATTATGGCAAGCATTTATCCCCAAGAGCAATGCTCAATATAGACATAAAGAAAACTTTTGATACTATCAGTTGGGATTTCCTGGAAAATATGCTAAAAGGTTTAGGGTTCAACAAAGTGTTTACCAAATGGATCATGATATTGTTAGCCCTTATGTTTTGATGATGTTCTTACAACCACCATTATTGGTACTAATGGCTTATTGAGTGAAATTGTAGTAAATCTATTTATCAAGCTCGTTAGTGCCATAAATGGAGGATGGATGGAATATATGCTACAAAGATAATATCCAAAGGAGGAGG